CTGAACAAGCCATGTCTTTGAAAGAATCCAGGAGAGCTGAAGGGATCCAGGTAACAGTTGCAAAAGCAACTTACAGTGCTTTAATCTATAATACCTGTTGGCAACAGCTTGAAACAAACCACTTCCAACTACTTTCAATCTTTCCTTCTCTTTATTGAAAATTTCCAGGAAAAAATTGGCTATCTTGGCCAGGAGAGCAGAGAGCTCCTTGAACAGCAGTCCTACAAAGCCTGCAGGCACTGAAATCTGATTAGATCCCCAAACTAATATCAATTATATGGTGCCCAGGAGAACTGAGGGTAGATATTCCACAGGCAAAAAGAGACCCATGAGAGTCCTGCATCCTTTGTCAAGGGGTTTGAACTTTATCCTATAGGCAGAGGGAAGCCAATGGAGGATGTAAGGATGGAGATGATCCATGCTTATGTTCTCTTTGGGAACACAAGACACTGTGGAACTGTAACAAGTGAGACCATAAAATGAATGTCAATGGTTTTGTGTCTAGGATACAAAGGATATATAAAATTCTCATGACACTTATTGGCAGACAGTATCAGAGGATGTTAGAAAGAGGAGTAAATTTAGAAATCATTCAGTGAATCCAGTTTCATCTTACAGGTTAACTGGAAAGAGGCTCAGCATCGGTATCTTTCCTTGGGTCACAAGTCTACTTATCAGCATTCAGGACTTGGACTAATTTTATTTAATCATCAACACCATCCTGTCAAGCTACTGTCAAAAAAGCCTATTTTTAAAATATCTTTCTTCACAAAGTATTGGGCTCTAACACGGATTCTGTGGTGCCTTTGATTATGTCTGTACCATACACAAAATACAGGGCATTTTTCTCATCATTACTTAAAATGCTTAAGAAATAATGGTGTCTTCCACTTTCTCCCACCATTTCATTTATTCAGCAAGAAACTAGTAAGTATCAGGCACTGTACTGGCTGAGGGCACAGAGTAGCAACAGTATTGCTAATAATAATATGAACATAATGGCCATTATTTACATTGCAGTTACTAGGTGCCAGATTATATTCTGAGTGCTTTTCATATAGTCATTCACTTAATCCTCATAAAAACTGGTAGGCTGGCATGGGGAGTGATTGTTTATGGGTTCAGTGTTTCTTTGGGGGGGCAATAAAGATGTTCTAAAATTAGATTGTGGGACTGGTTTTGCCAACTGTAAATATACTAGAAAACACTGACTTGTACACATTAAATGGGGGAATTTTATGATATCTCAATTATATTTTAATAAAGCTGTTTAAAACCCAAGATGTAGACTATACAGAGAAATAATTTGAGGCACAGAGAGGTTACATCATTTGTCCAAGGTCACAAAGCTATAAAGTGACAGAGCTGGGATTCAAATACAGGGGGTCAGAAGCAGAGTCTCTATATTAAATATACAGTCCCTGACCTGGAAGAACTCACAGTCTGGAGCACATTTACAAACATGAGGCATAAACATCTTGCCCTTGTATCTAAATTACACAGATCCATTAAACACGCACACTCTGGCGAAAAAAGGAGAAATGTACAAAAGAAAGCCGATGGATGACAGAGTGCCAGGTACCTGTAGATGCGTCATCATATCTAAAGCCTGATTCTGCTCCTGATGGTGTAATTAGGAGAAAGCATCCTAAAATAAGCTGCATCAGAAAAGAAGCTAAGAGGGAGGTTTCTCACTGTCCATTAACATGAGAAGCTGAAGTTGCCTTGTGTTTGCATGTGCATGCGCCTGTGCATGCGTGAGCATGTGAGGATTTGCGTGTATGTGTTTTTGCTGGAAAGTTCCCCTCCCGGAAGTCATACCAGTTCTTCATTGTATGCCCAGAACCTGGTGGGGCACATGGGAGATAAATGGATGATGATGAATGAATGACTCTCAACTAGTTAAAGAACAGCTTAAATTGATCTCCAACTTCCTGGACTTTAGAATGGCTCAAATCTAGACCATAAGGAAAAAGGGCTGCTTGTGACTGGAGGTATATGGGCATTAAATGACTATTAATTAGTCATTTGGGGAGTGCCTGGGGTTCATGAGATCGCAGCTGCAAGCCTGTATAGGTCTAGTTCTCACACGCAAAATCCTTTTCAAGACCCCAACCTCTAGTTGTCTTGAAAATGTATTTAAGTGGTTATGAAAAGGACTGGGTAAGAGAAAATGGGTGGCTGAGCTCAAAATCTGTTCTACTTCGGTTTGCCTGGATGGCTCAGTCAGTTGGGCGTCAGCCTTCGGCTCAGGTCATGATCCCAGGGTCCTGGGATCTAGTCCCACATTGGGTTCCCTGCTCAGCGGGGAGCCTGCTTCTCCCTCTGGCTGCCGCTCCCCCCACTTGTGCTCTCTCTCTCTCTGACAAATACATAAAATCTTTTAAAAAAATCTGTTCTACTGCAAAAAAAAACCTCACAGTATATTCCTAGTGATGGTGAGTGAAGGGCAATGCATTTCCTTCAACAGTATATATTCAACCTATTATTACAACCCAAACACAGCAAGCAGAAGTAGAAGATAACCTAAACCAGAATGCAGGGCCCACATTTCAGTTCCACAAGTTGTCAGAGGCTGCTCAAAATTCTTCTCAACAGCAATAATGCTCAAGCCCTCTGCTAACTGCTGACGATTAAGCTATGTCCTCTTGTGCTAAAGGAGTTCACAGAATTGGTGCTTCTACCTCCTCAAAATTTTTAGAATTTCTTTATCATTACTCAGCTGAATATTCTTCACATTGGGTAACAAATTATGAACGTGACATTCATCAGGCCCCAAATGGAACCACTCTTGAGAGTCTGTGAAAAGCCAAGAGAGCTACACGAAAACTACAAACATAGATTTTCTTCCTCGAGTTCAAGCAAAAAATTCTACTTGTCACTGAAATGACAAAGAAGATAAATTTTACATAAGGTAATAAATACCAAGTAATTTATATTTAGCTTTTTAACATTTGAAGAAAAAAGATACGCTCTCTACCCAGATCTGATTCCTCCATCTGCCACAAACTTTAGACATTCTTCTGTTAGCTTACTTATTGTACATATTACAGGCAGAAGAACCAAGCAGTTAAGAGCTAGTACGTCTATATAATCCATTATCCAAACCAGAGCACTTCTGAGAGTGAATAAAGTCACAACAATTACATTGGGACAACAGAAGTAACCTGGGACCATCCCAGGCAAACTGAGACATACAGTCACCCTATTAAAAGCTTGTGCTCTGGTGTCAGAATTTGATGGTGGGCAGGGAGAAATAATTAAAGGTTTGGAATAGTGTTGTTAAATGACCATAACTTCAGGAAGCTTAGTACAGAAGTGGGTTTGGGCTGGAATGGACCAGACAGACATCGAGGAGAGAAAGCCCAAGAAAACATTCTTATGGCACTAGGAAAGAAATAACAAGAGGCCAAGCTAGGACGGTGGAAATGAAAAGAGAAAGCCTATATAAGAGACCAGGCCATTAAAGAAGTCAGATAGATAGGTTGTAATACTAGTCTAAGTAGTTAGAAAATATTAAATACACCTTAAGGGACTTGACAGGTAAATGGCAGGCATAGCAGAGCACCTGATAAGAGGAAAAACCAAGGGAGCTCAGACTCTAGGGCAAAAGCCATTTGCTCCCTATCTCTTCTCATACTTCCTGTTTGCATCAGTGCCAGGCTCACAGGGGTGTGCTTCATTCCAAGGAGAGCTGGAGCCCCCCACAGACCGCTCGATGCAAGGCACAGGTAAGCCAAGAGTTTCCTTCACCGGGAGGGTAATAAAATGACACCAACAATTGCTCCAGACACCACTTGGTGGCACTAGTACCCTGAAATGATTGAAATGCAACCTGCCATTCTTGATCTTAAGCTGGAAACCTTGGACTCTTAAAAGGTCTAGCCAACCCTCAAGTTCAATTTCTTCCATGATTATCTGACTTCTTCCAGAACTTTCACATCCTCCTTTATCTCCATCTATGGAGATATGTGTTATTTTAATGATCTCTCATTATTTCAAAAATTCCTTTGTATGCATATACACATATAATTTACATAAATGTGACCACCTCTTTCAACCACACTTTTCTTATGTAACCTTACCTACCACCACCATAATTCCTCCCACCCCTTCTAGATGATCCATCTTAACAGCCTAGAATACATCCATCACCATCTAACCTTATACAAATGTGTGTATAGACAAAAGAGATATCTAGAGAGAGAAATGTATGCCTATAAAAGTTTTTTTGATTAATGATTTAGAAAATGGACTCATAAAATGTACTCTTCTACACATCTTGCTTTTCTCCCTCAACAGTATCTTGTGGTAATCCTTCTAAGCAATGAGTATTGCTCCAATTCACTTTTTGGGGATGTGTTATGTAATAGTCCATGGTATAGACATACATTAATTTATTCAACAACTGTCCCTTATTAAACGGTATTCGTTTGGTTTCAATTTTTTGTTGTTTTTTTCTTTTTTTTGCCACAATAAACAATCCTGCTGTTGAAATCCTGTGTTTATATCCTGTATGGTACAGCTCCTGTCTCCATGAGTTTAATTCCCCAACAGGGAAATGCTGGATTGAAGGGTAAGCATATACTTTCAATTTTAGGAAATGTTGCTAAATTTACGTCCAAAAAAAGCTCTTTAAAATCCTTATTCCCACCAGCAAAATGTGAATGACAGTGCCCTTTTCCTCACATCTCCACTAGCAATGTGTATTGTTGCTTTTTTCTTTTGCTGCTTGATGGATATAAAGTGACAACTTATCATTAATTAACTTTTTGTTTTCCCGGTTGGCTGTGATCTCAAGCATCTTTCCAGGTTTTTTTTTTTAGCCATTTTCACCTGATTCTTCACAGCTTTTGCCCAAAGCAAGGATATTTTGATGGGATTTTTGCTTAGTAAAGAGGCTAGAAAAAATATTGCTAAAACATTAAAGAAAAGAGAAAAATAGGTTTTATCATGGTCACTATTATCTATATTTGATTTCTAACACTAAAAGCACTTGGGTGCTCAATTCGGCAGCACATATGCTAAAATTAGAACAATACAGAGAAGATCACATGGCCTCTGCACAAGGATGACATGCAAATTTGTAAAGCGTTTCATAGTTTAAAAATACATACAAACATACATGCATGCATAAATACATACATAAAAGCACTGGGGTGCCAGAAAATAATCTTGTGAGTACTATTCAATTCTGGAATATCTACTCTAAGGGCAGAACATGATTATTTCTCTCTTCATAAGGAATTGACTCACTGTTAGTGCTTTGTTTCTGACTGGACATTGTATTGCTGTATATGTTTAAGTAGGACTTGGTATTAAATAAAACCAGTCACATTTATTTGAGTGTCATTCAAAATACTTGTTTAAAAAAAAAAAGAACAAAAATCAGTAGGGAAAGAAATTGTATTTTTAAGCTTCTAAGAAGATTTTATAAACAATGGAGCCCAGAGAACAAAAAAAGTCATAAAATGACTTGACAGTGTCCTTTTAAGTGAACATATGTGAGTTGATGCATCCATGTGTGTCCACATATGTCCTACATATGCACAGCCTGCTGCTAACCAACCAGATTGTTCGATGTGTATGTTTACTGTAAAACAAGCCGAAAGTGTTTGGTCTCTTTGTTAGAGAAACAGCTCATAATTTCAAGTATACAAACGTCAGTTGTTTCTCATTTCTTTTTTTTTTTTCCAAGCCAAATGAGCTGTTGATGCCCAATTTGGCAGGATCCTAACTGAGGCTGACTCTTGGCCAGCTGCAGAAACCCGGTCCTGAAAGTTCAGGAAAATTTTTACAAGAATAAGGAGCTTTTCCTAATGGCTCCCTAAACCAGAGGAAGTTTCCTTAGAGCCTTAGCCAGCTTTTTCCCACTCAGTATCCCAAAGGATAATCACTAACATTGTTTTGGATACTAATGGATGGAGTTAGGGTGTGAAATGAGGGTCCTCCCTGACTTTGGTCAAATATTCTTCCAAAACCCACTGTTAACCGAAAACATCCTGGGGAGGTAGAGATTATTTCTGTGATAACAACTTTATCTATGAGTCCTCAGTATCCCATCTTTCATTTCAGCATTTAGACAGTGCTCTGCAGCTTAAAATGGTGAATGAAGTTTGGACAATTTCCAGTTGAAGATGGAGCCTTTGGATGGATTAGACCCCTACATCTACAATCACAGCATTGAACCCAATTATCACTATCGGTATCCTCTACTACTCACATTAATATTCTCTGAATAGCAGGCTGTTGTGAAAAGAGCTCATGCTCTGGAGTGGAAGAGTCTGTCCAGTCCTAGCTCCATTGTTTCCTGGCTTTGTAGCCATAGTAACTTCATGCTTCCAACTTCAGTTTCCTTATCAGCTGTATGGAAATAATAATATGGATTTCCTAAGTTTCTGATGAAGATGAAATGAGATAACCTATATAAAGGATGATGCACAGTACTGGGGACACATTAAGTGCTTAATAAATGTGAATGCCCTTCCTCTCCATTTCTACTTTCCTCTCTCTAGTCCCTTCAAAGAGAGAGAGACCTGAGAACCAGGAGTATTTCTTGGTCAAGGAGATAATCCAAAAGTCCCCAATCCCAAGGATGGGGGATTGGGGTAGAGGAGAGGCTGATTTCAACAGAAAAAATTCATTTAAAATGTTAAAAATAGCAAAAATAAAATGTTCTCTTTCGATATCATTGAGACTAGACGATAAGTATGAGTATGTATTCATAAATGCATACCCATTTATTTAACACCTATTCTGTGTCTAGAATAGTGCTTGACAGAAGTGTCCATAAATACTTCTTAAATGATTGAATGAAGACCAAACCCTTAAAGCACCATCGTAATTTCTTCTCTGATGCTCAGTTTCCTGGGATTTATTTATTAGTGATGATTCTCTGCTTTTCAAAGTGAATGTCATAGTAAGGAAGAAGTATGGGTATCTGTTGTCACTGTCTTACTCAGCCCCTGAAAACAACCAGAAGCATCCCATCCTCCTTTTAGTCTGACAACACAGGCTCTTTCTACATCAAACCACCTCTCATTCCCTCTTTCCCTTCCTCCATTCAGCCTTTCAAAAGCTGTCCAGTATCTGGCCACAACTGAAAAATACAATTCCTCTTGCTGCAGGTGTCCATGTGCTTGGGGCAAAATGAGCCACTGTTGACAGTTGTAAAGAAAGGGAGAACAGCTGTTTGCATCTGGATATGGGGTAAGAAAGAGAGAACAGCTGGTGGCAGCTGTGGCAGACAAGAAAGTAAGCAAGTTAGCAGCTGCTGGTAATTCAGAATCTACTAGACTGCCCGGAATAATTGAAATCCAGAAGAAGCATGTGAGACTCGACTTAACTACTTTACTGTATCCTGCTCTTCATTAGATCCGACTTGTCCTTCATTAGAGACATTCCCATGATAGCCACATGAGGACTCCCAGTAGGAATATCAGTCCCTCCTCCCCATCCATAACCCTTTGGAAAATCAAACCAAGAAAAGTAAAATGACACAAACGTTACTTCCAGTAAGCCCACGCTTATTTTTACAAGAAGGAAGCAGTCCATGGTTGACAAGGGAAGGAATGTCACCAATGATGGATCTATCATAAGAATGGGCAAAAATAATTCTTTCTATATTACAAGAGATTATGGTCATTTTGATGATGATCCCACACTTCAGAATTCAGTAGGCTGACATAAAAACGTGATAACTTAAATGTAATATAAGCCTAGAGAAATACATTTTAAAACCCTGTCCGTGGTTTCAATGTTTCTTTTCTCATATGTATGTAATCCTGTGAATGTGTATACATAGGAATATTTCCCTCTATTTTTTATTTTTAATAAAAAGAAGAGAAAGACGTCTTTACATCATGCATCTGGTGACAAAATGTTTGGTTGGTTTTTGTGCTTCCCACTTCTAGTCATCTGGAATTCTAAGAGAAACTGAGAGACCCAAAAGTATGTCATCTATTTCTCATCTTGTTCAACACAGAAGAAAAGCATCTCATCACTCCAATTTATAGAATTTCAGCTCTTTAGTTTCTAAGGTAAAGTTCAAGAGAAGAAAAAAGAAACTATCACAATTTTATATACTAATAAATTTTATACAACCGAATGCCCTCAAATAAAAGAATAATTAAGGAAATTATATGGTAAGCTATCTGTATTTACAGAAATGATAATTTTGCAGATAGTGATAGGGAAAATGCTTGTGATGTAGCATTCATGGAGAAGTCTGCTAAGATCATTCACACATTAAAAGTTAATGCAAAATATACACCATGATTGAAACTAAGGTAAAAGAATAGGCATAGGACAATATAAAAGGAATTTGTTAAAATAGAAGAAGCCAAAAGAAGATAGCAGAGGAGGAATCTTAAATTTTATTTCTTTTATGTTTTCTTTTTGTTGATAGATTATATCAGTATAAAAGATCTAAATAATAATTAAACTATTATGAAAGTTACTAATAAAATTGCTAAACTATAAGCTCCATAAGGACTGGGTCCTTCCTTGTTTTTGATCACCTTTATCTCCAATGCCTGTCACAGTGCCTAATTACCAACAAATATTTGTTGAATGAAGAAGTCCATGAAATGAGTGAGTCATCTGCATTTTTAAATGACACTTGTAAAAGAAAGAATGAAACCATTTGCACCAATGGCATATGTATGACTGAGAAAAGAAGGATGGCTCTACTCAAAAGATCAAGTAGAAAGATTCCCAAAGATGTTAACTCACAGCATTTTGAAATCAGCTCTATCCTGCCTGGTGAGATATGTGGCCCAGCCAGACCTAATGAGCCCCCACATTCTGAATTGGAAGGGAGAGAAACTAGCCAGTGCAAATATGCTTTCAACTCTAAGATAGGACTCTGTGAGTTGGATTAGGAGGAAAGGGAGAGAGAGTAGTTGCCAAAATACTAATGTCCCAAGCACCTGGCCCTTAATTTACTGACCAGAATGGCCCATGACAAAGTTCCCAGATGTTTTGTGCTCCAGGTGGATAGCTTTCCTCAAAGCAAATTTGATTAATATTTCTATCCACAGCTCCCCTCTCAAGTCCAGGCATTGTTACCCGGTCTGGCATTGAAAGCAGTGTTTGAGTTCCAAATCAGGTAGTAAAAATATGAGATGCCATTCACTCTTGATTTTACTGTCCCATTTTCCCGCAACAATAAGGTCCACAGTTGAAAGAATTTTCACGATGTCAAAGGCTGCCTTTGAATCAGCCTTGTTTACTAAACTCCTCCCTGAGGAAATTGGGACAGACTCATCATTCCAATACGAACATCTTTATACAAAGTCTGTTTTCCAGATATCTTGAACCTTCCCCTGGTCCTGCTTATATAAAGTGTGAATGTTCCATGTTAATGTAAAGTATTCCCACACTCCAAACATGGAGTAACTCAAGACCCTGACAAATGTGTATGTTATCCAAAATATGTTTGCAGATTTTTCCCTTTTGCCTATAAAATAGCATTAAAGGAAATGTCTCGCTCCATAAATATAACTGTCAAGTGTTTAAATGACTTACACTTCATCATCATCATCACCAAAATCATAAACTGCCTATTTTTTGTCCAGGGCTGGGCTTGTAGTATACTTGGCATATTCAACAGATATTTGAGTAACACACTGAGAAGATGCAGCTGCTAGGTTTTTATCAACCTTCCCTAAAGGGACCAACATCTAGTTATTTCCAGATATAATTTCTATATTAGAAGTGTGAAGGCTAATTTTATGTGTCAACTTGACTGGGCCATGGGATACCCAGATATTTGGGCAAATATTATTTGTTGTTTCTATGAGGGTGTTTTTGGGTGAGATTAACATTTAAATTGGTAGACTGAGCAAAGCAGATTGCTCTCTATAATGTGAGTGGGCCTCATCCAATCAGTTGACAGCCTGAATGCAACAAAATATCTGACTCTCCACTGAGTAAGAAAGGATTCGTCCTTCCTGAAGGCCTTCATACTGGTACCTTGGCTTTTTCCCGCCTTTGAAGTTGAACTTAAATATTTGCTTTTCCTGAGTCTTGAGTCAACCAGCCTTCAGACTGGAACTACACCATCCATTTGTTCTCTTGGTCTCCAGCTTCACCAGCTCACCCTA